GCCTCGTGCGATTATCATAAATGCATGGGTAGCTTTGCGAAAACGCTGCACGTGTGCGCAGTTCAAACAGAACGCACGTGTAGTAAAACTCTAAAAAGGCTTGGAGAGCACCCGGAAAGCCAGGTGCTTGTTTCCAGCGGCCTGTGGAATTTTTCAAGCCTTCAAGCAAACGCTGACGCTGATGTCGGCGCGTAATTAGGCAACTCTGAATAAAACTCCAAACTATCTCTACCCATCGTTAGCAGATTAATGAACGGCTGATGTGTCATGAGGGCAAAATTGTCGCCCAAAAACAACTGCACCGAAACATGCACGTGGGCACACCAGTCACGACTCCGCCACACCAACAGCTCATGTCATCGTCAGGTGTTCCGCGAAATGTCTCTTCAATGGTTTGGGAAGAAGAGACAAGTGGATTGAAGTCGGAAGATAGTCTGGGAACTCGTTATACATATTCGGTGTGCGAATAGAAAAACGTCATTTTTACTATCTCAGTACGCACACCAGGTATGAACGTAGCACTGTTGTGTGCTTGTCGGTCGACCGTGCACTTAATCCACTGTGTGGAGCATGCGAGCTTGTCAGGATCGTCCGCATGGAGGGTCTTGGTGAGAGACGGTGTGATATCTGACTGTGTTTGCAGTGGGGAGTCAACGAAGCCTCTGCTGTCGGTCCGACACATGATCAATTTTTTGTCCAAAAATTAGCCTTCACAGCAAAGGTTTAAAAGCTTTTTTTCTCTCATCTCATCTCATCTCACATCGATCTGTGAACCGCTACCGTAAACTGATATGTAATAACGGACCTGCGACAGAACCAAGGTGGTCACCAGGGGGGCCAGAACACTGGCAGGCAGGCTGTGTCCCAGATATGATAGGTCAGCTAAGATACCGAAACAATGATTACTGACATGCAAAGTGTGTGAATTCCAAATGAGATCGCAGCCAGCCACAAAGCCGAGATGAGATCCTTCTAAACAGGGGACAAGAAAGTGATCGCGGATTTTGAAGTGGGAAACGGTGCGGGATTTCGTTGGCTTCCAAGCAACAGCAGCTGTATTTTATTGGCATTAACTGTAAGGCCGTTGAATCTGAACTAATCGTAAAGTGATGCCAATGCATTCTGCAAATGAGTGGTAGGTGTTATTTACAGGGAATGCTCCACATGTCAAAATATTGATCGGGTATATGACGGAGCGCCTTTAGACTTTTGAGCCTGCTGTTCGGTTGCGGCGGTGCAGAAACTTTCAAACGCGACACGCACATCCCGTCGCGGGCGAGCGCTGCCACGGCGCCGCGCTGTCATCCGGCCGGTCGGCATGCAGCAGCTGGGAGCCAAGCGTAGCCAGGAGGCGAGATGGTATCTCCGGTCGCAGCCAAGGCCTCGCTGAGAGAGAATAGGCCGAGTTCAGTGGACAGCTCAAGCATCTTTGGCTTGATAATTTGAAAGTTCAAATGGCAGATAAGAAGTCCTGTTCGTTGACTGCCGCGCCAGCGCTGCCCTCCGCTGCTCCGTTTGAGGACGCTGGGTGCGTGCCTGCCGTGCCGGTCCCGGCGGGAAGGGGCGGCCGCGGAGCTCCGCGGTAGGTCAGTCCGTTCGCGTGACACGGCGATTTTGATTAGAGCCCTTCCGGCAAGTAATGATCATTTTAAGACTATGAGCGTGAATAGATAGCGGTAGGGGAAGACCACATGCACTTTGGGAACTAACCGCCAAGCATTTCCCCGGGCAGGGACCCCTCTGCGGGGTATGTACCAGACGCCCAGTCGGTGCCCCCCCAGGCGGCCTCTCGGCCCACTCGTGGCTGGTGCACACAGCCTGCCCCGGACAAGCGGGACGTCGCGGGGATGCAGGATAAAACAAAACAGAGGATAAGGGGGTCGGATGATGACGCGGCGCTGACGATGATGGCAATGACGCGGTGACCGGCAGCGGCCTGGGCAGAGGCTAGCCCGGGGCGACCTCGCGACGACTCATTGATGGTCAACCTCCGGATCACGTGGGGAGGCGGCCGGCCAGCGGAGATGCTTCACGCCAGGCTTTGCATGACAACCTGCGTCACGTGGAGCCGCAGCAGGTCAGTCGGGGGTCGGAGGACGGCCGAAAGATCACGGAAGAGCCGAGGAGACCCGCCACGGTACGCCAGCAGCGCACCGATAACGAACGATCACCTAGATCACGGATCGTGCTGCTCTCCGACACGCGCTCCGGTTCCGTCGGAGGTCGGAATCGCGATATGGGACACTAAATGGGTTATCGACTGGGCTATCTCAGTGACATGCCCAGTGCACCTATTTCGCAATCCATATTCCATATATGGATCGCGATGTAACCCATATTCACTGAGTTATTTTACTCCTCCCATACACAACAAAGTTACACCGGGGATGGGCAGCGGGGTGTGGTACAGCGGGGAGCCCCGGCGCCACCTCCGACCGGGCAGCGGTGCAAAGGTAACTGAATAATTTACAAGAGAAAACAATGTTTGCGGATGTCGCGAGTGCATCCTGTTACACCATCCTTGCGATTAAGAACGGGTTGACAGCATGCCCTGACGTTTGGTGACAAGGACGGACGGCGTTCTCTACGGGCGAATTATGTCTGCGTCTTCAGCGTACTTTTACAGCACAGGCGAACTAATGGCGATTTCCTCGGCGGGATTTCCGTGTAGCTGGCGGTGACGGTGCCA